ACACTTACAAACGTTCAAAACATTTCCATAAACTTCTCTGATATTCTCTGTGGCTACCCAGGCATTGTGTTCCTTTTTACAGCATTACGTGCCACATGTATGCGTCTCATCATGTTCCATCACTATAAGGGATTAGAGTATACTAAACTTTACACATTATATAGGCTACACTAACATGACATTTAGGTGGTTCGTTTAACTATTATACGTGATGTACATTTTTGGGGGGAAGGGGTTAATGAAAGTGTTCCAAAATGGGACATTAATTTCTTGACAACCTAATAAAATCATGAATTGCATCAGAATTACCTAATCAAAGTATTTCCTCCATGCTATCAATACTTTTCAATAAGATAACAGGATTTAATAAACTCTTCCTTCATAATCCCAATATTAAATAATTGTAAGTGCTAAGGATATAAATTTATTTATATATGAATAATGTATGGTTCAAGCAGTCTACAATCAACTATAGTTTACTTTAAAAGAAAAAAACTTAAAACTCTTAGACTGGTAAGATCTTAGTAAAAAACAAAACAATGTCTAACATCATTTCACAGTAACATACTAAATGAGTTGCAACTGATTGTGGGGTTGTATGAAAAATACAGTTAATGTTTATATTTGCAAAACCCTGACTACACCAGATTTACTAAAAAATGTACCAGTAAATAACAAGAAACTTCTGATGTCTTAAGTATGCACCGGGAAAACCTGTATGACTCAGAAAAGGGACTCACCATCTTCAACAGATTGAGATGCAATTATTAGCCTCCACATGTGAAGAACTGATAAACCTTCATCATTTTTCTCTAAGACAACCAAATAAAATGGTTCTTCAAACACTGAGCTATGTTGTAAATCAATAACTGCCTGAAGATTAGGCTCAACTAGACCCATTCCTTTCCCTTCCATTCCACTGCTGTATTTGGACATAATATTATCTCCTATAATTAATTGTTCCTGGAATACATGTAGTAGCTGTGTATTCTTCCAATCCTGTTATAAAAATAATTTAAAAATAACTGAGAAAAAGTCAGTAAGCTTTAGACACATACCATATGTTAACATCTCAGAAAATACGTGGAGAAGATATTTTTTAATCAACAAACATTCATTTTGTAATCTTACATATTGCTTTTTTTTTTTAATATTTCAAAACACTGATATATTTGAAAACAGGATTATTACCAGCGATTTAAGAAATGGAACTATGTTGATTTTTATTTAATGAAGAAGAATTCCTTTATATATCTCATGAGAAATGGCTTAAGCAGAAGGGGTTAATGTATGGTTATGAAAAGAGGCACAATTCAATAATGATAACAAACATATGCAAATTATAATCTGTAACTCTTAAATGGGCTTCAGAAACCTTGAAAATCCTTCCTACTTACTCTGTCACTAATGTGATATTTGTTTTTATACAAGAGCATATAAGTCTACTACACGAGTGGAAGTCATATGAATGTTATTGTATTCAATTTTAAACAGGACCCTACAAAACAAAGTTATTTTATAAGCATATTTCACCCACAATGTAAGTAAATAGCAAAAAAGGAGTAAAATTAAATGTTACCACATTGCTGCATTCATACTAATCAAGCCTTCATCTTGATTTGTGTATTCAACAAAGGACTTCAGAGCAAAAAAAAAGTGAAGAAAACTCACATTTTCCAATCACTCATTGATAGGCAAATAAATCATACAAACTCTTTCAAAACAGTTGCTTTGGATACAAATAGAACTCCTATGTGTGTGATTTTAAAATTTTTGTTTTCCATTTACTTACACTCACTGTAAATTGTATTTTCATTGAAAGAATAAACATTTCAATTAATGTCATTTTTTTTATTAATATTTTGTTTTATACTTAATTATACTTAAGCATATATATATATTTAGTTCCACAAGCTAATTAGGGCTTTCATTGTTCTATTTGAACATTAATTAATGAGAACAGACTTCAAAGCTCTGCATAAAATATGAGCTTTATTATAGAAAGTGTAAAAAAATTTAAAACATAAAAATAATATTCTCCTGAGAAACAGGTGAAATATAAAACATTGCTAAGCCTGTTATCACATTACAAAACCTACATGAGTGGCATTGGCTATAGAATCTAACTCAATGATACATCCTGGTCGGGAAGTTGACTGTAAGCTGATGATTTTGAAAGTTTCCTGCAGGCTAAGCTGTCTGTACCCCAGGCCCGAAGAGGTGCTACTGGACAAACTGAGATCCTGAAATGCAAATACAATTAATTTATAATCCCTGTTACAGGTACATGCTTGTATTCTCTTACCTACCACAATATTGTTCTTGTCTCCAACTTTTCTAAACATAACTAATATAAAAGTCATCCCTGTCATCATAATCAATTACAAGTTATAAATTAAATTTTAATTATTCTCACATTCATATACTGATTCTTCTATTTCCTCTAGTATGATTTTCAGTTTAATTATTTAAACTTCATAGTAAGTAAAATAATTAGCAGTGTAATATTCAACTCTTTAAGTTACAAAAGCTTACTGACAACAGAAGTCCAAGTTCTATGAATAAATATAAGTTAAGATAAAAACCTGCTACTAATTGTTTAGAAATAAAAACTAAAAAAAAATGATGCTATTTTGAAGTTTAAGTTAAGCTGAGAAGACCATAAGGATGGTAAAATTATTTATGTAATGTTATTGAGATTAGTCATACCATTACAATTTTAGGTGGGGGAATAATTACAGAAACATTTGGTAAAAACATTTGGGTTATGTCACTCAGATCAGTCATATTAATCCTGTTGTTTGGGGAAGTAGCTACAGAAAATTTATTAAACTACAGTAGTCCCTGGTGGACACAACCCCTCCCAATAATGACTTCCTTTTAAATAAGACTTTTTTTCTGTGCATGGAATGATTTTTACATTGATCTAACTTCCTATGAACAACTTCCTGACATGTGCAACATACGACCATAATTTTTAGGTGAAAGGTCAAATAACGACCTCTCTGTACTGACTTTTCTTCTTATCAGTAAGGTAATTTACAGAGACACAGGAATACAGCATATACAGTATTGAACAAATAGGTCACATGACCAGAGATTGCTTCACAGCTTAGTATATATATACCTTGGTACCCTGGGTGTTCAAGTCAAACTCCTTGGTACATACACTTAGGTATCTTGGTTTTAAAACTTTCAGGTCCTGAAGGGTAACCAGGGGTGGTCAGAAACTGTTGTTTGTCAATGCCCCACTTGTGGAATTAAGGTTTATTTTTTTAGTGAATGTTGTAGATTTTGAGCTAGTGGCCTAGATATTAAGTGACTTGATTAGAATTTAGCAGTGGGATATGAAGATTATTAACTTGCGGTTTGTTGAGTGACAAACTCAACTAGTCTGTGCAGTAAGCATGGCTAATAAAATGCCTCAAGGCATCTGGGAAAGCTGCGAATGTCTCAAGCTGAGAACAGGAAGTTGCTGTGAAAAATGCAATGGCTCAAAGTATTGATATAGAATCATGACACGGACGTTGATATAGACCATATCTGTGACGAAAGTAACAAAGTAAATGAAACATGGAAATTATAGAATTTTTAGTCAACTTGAAATTGTTTTAAGGCAATATATTACATTTTTTGTAGTACTTATATTCAGAGAGGATTACCTTATTAGGTATTGACTAGTCTATCAATAATTTACTTCAGATATTTATTCTTTCTTCTTTACTGATTCTTTTACATTTGTGGAATAGTTCCTTTTCAGAGCTGGTATCAAAGGGTCCAAATTTCAAGGTGAAATTTTGATTTAGGGTGGGGCTGTTTTGTTCAATTAAGATACATAGCTTTCGATGTTTGGTTCTTTGTTTAAAATTACAGCATTTTGTATAGATATACTGTGGATTTTTTGAGTTGCAATGGTGGTAAATAGAAGTATGGGATTTTATTTTATTATGAATCTGGTTTCCAATTTTCTACCGGTTTCTCTGATGAAGAATTCTAGACATTTATTGTACGCTATTTTATTAACTGATACTAAAATTGTGCACTGTAAACTAACAACAAAATGATTCTTGATATAATAACTGCCAGACTCGTGAACATTCAAAGTAACTCCGTTAAATGTGCAAAATAAACAAAGGTGAATGATTTTTTATGAACTAAATTTTCTGTCAGTTTGTAATATTTTATATGTATGTAATAAAAATGTGATATGTGGACATTTATGAAATAAATGTGATCGATGACTAAATTATTTTACATAAAAAACAAACAAAAGAATTTTAAGTTATCTTTATTGAACTGTTATCCATCATAACTATTATTATACAGAGTTCCAACTTGCTACATTATCTGACTACCTATACTGAATACAAACCATTATGTTCAACCCCTTGGAATAGAAACCTGGCACAGCATGTACTCGGTTGTTCATTATCTGGTTATTGAACCTTTGAATAATGAATTCCTATCATATGCAACTATTTTTTCATGGCAGATAGGTCTGCCATATCTAAGAGGGACTACTGTACTTTTTTTATTATTTTAAGAAAAAATTTAACTTCAAGAAATAAAGCACTTTTTTATAAAAAATATTTTTCATTTATATAATATGAAGATCTTTGGATAAACTAAAGCTCATGTTTTATTTAATAGCTTTATATGTTTCAAATCAATTCAGTGAAAAACAACACATTAATTTTTCAGAAGCAGGTCTCTGTGATATTAAGAATACTTTCTCAACATTTTAATTTCATTAATTCAAGATTTAGAGGACAACTAAATGTAAATTACCGAGTTCCTGTATTTCCTTTTAGCAGATGAAACTTCAGCTAGTAATGTCCTGGCATCAATAACAGCTTGATAGATCCTTAGTTGTTGACCGTCAGAAGCCACAAAACATGCACTTGGAGAGTTTGATATGTTTCCCAAAGTTGTGCTAAAAAGTTTAACTGAATAATGTAATCACATGTGCATATCTTGATTACATATTGAAGCATCAATTTAAATTTATTAAAAACATTTGTAAGAAAAATATTTCTAGTTCAATATTACAGTTAAACTAATTTTATTCTAAAACAACAAAAAAGACTTCTTTTGACAATAACAATTAATAAGGTCAATTGATTTTTTCATGAAAGTTAGAGGCACTAACCTAGGAAGTAATGTTGGGACCCATGCTACATTAGCAAAAGCAGCAGTTTCAAGAGAATTTATTCTTGCTAGCTCTGTTACCCCTCCTGATTTAGAAAGAGGTCCAACAGGGTCCACTTTCCAAAGAATCAGTTCACTACAAAAACCAATGTGTGGTAGACCATTAGGAGGACAACAACTTGGTGAGCTGGGAGTCACAGGGGCAGAGTTATTTCCCGATCCACTCCTACCTGGAAGGTTGTGGTGAGAGGTTGTCAAAAGCAATGGCAGGACTGGATGGCAGGTAATGTCGTTGATGCGAAAACGATGACCACATACTCGTGCAGCATGTCCTATACTCAAAACCTAGTAACATTAGAAAGAAAAACAATGATATAATTTTCATTTACCATCAACATATATTTTGTATAAACTGTTTGAAAAACCATAAAAGCTATATATATATATTTTTATTTTTTTTTCTTTTATCAATAGAATCATTGAAATACAACTCTAAAAGCTGGTGCAAATTAGTCTGAAATGGCAGGTCACAAATATTTCTCTATTTATGAAATATCTAATAGTAATAATTTAACATATTTTAAGTTGCCTTGTTACTCAGACAGTGAGTAGTTTAACATTCTACTGCTCAAAAACATAATCAGAGTGATAAATAAGATGAATAAATACCACTAGTACTCTCTAAAGTGCTATTATCATATTCAACAGATTTGGCAAATTATTATAGAACACAAAAACTTAAAAGGTAAGTTTTGTTTTGTAATAATGCATTTGTAAAAACTGACATGACAGCAAAATTCACTCCAAATTCTAAGAAGCTGGAATTTGGAGTGAATTTTGCTGTCATGGTATACACTTCTTCACTTAAATCTTCTGAAGTGAATTGTGATGCATATCAAACTTTGCATAATAACATTCTAAATTTGTTCATGCTTGAAGGTAAGAACAGTGGGAGTTAACCATGTAAAGTGAGTTTGTGCAGCAACAGACTGTGAACTATGAATCCTCTGATTCATGGTCAGGGCCACAAAAAAAAAATGCTGGGTATTTAGGAGTAGATTTAATATAGTTGTTGTATGGCTAATCTCACACTCAGAAAATCTGCAAACCATAAATAAAAAGCACACTTATAAAATATATGCAACCACATATATAAGGAGATGGTTTAAACCTTTTAAGATGGGTCATGGGTGAAAGGCCATTTCATCTCATTTGTTGACTTGCATTCAAAATTGTATTGAACTACTATTTCATGAATTTATGTCATTATGTTTGGTATCAAACTGTAGATTATAATTCAAATTTTAGTACTATAGATTGCCGAGTTTCTTAATTTAAAAGCAAATATTAAAAACACAGATAAACATTGATTTTTGTGTGTCACATGGTATGTTGAATGCAGCACTGGTTCAAATTAGATGCTTGTGAAGTCAAAATACTAAGTCTATAGTTTTGATCAAATTAGAAACTCAAATTACCAATATTAACAAGTTAGAATGTAAAATAAGAGCCTCTTATCTTTTCAATTTGCTAAGGTATTGCTCATGTAATAAATCAAACACAGTGGCACCCTGTCCACGTCTTTCAATTTTTGGAAATGCTCCCTTATATACACTTACTTCTATATATGACATGAATAACCAATCGGAAGCTCAGAATATCCTCTTAGTGGCTTTCTCAGCAATTTTCACGGCCTTGGATGCCATTTCTTTCCTTTTAACCAATATTTCAAGAAGGTAGGGTGTGTCTTTAATCTGCTCGAAATGTCTTATTTTTTAAGACTAAAATACATCTTAGTTACCAAGCTTGATAAATTATAGTGGAATTCTATGGTATTGATGTAGTAATTTATGATTTTTTAGTTATTCAAATGTATATACAAAACCTAAAAAAAATTATTTCATTTCATATCCTCCACGTGCAAAATTTTTAAAGCAAGCTTAGCAACCTACACCAAGCAGCAACCAAGTACAAAGGTTGTAACTAGAAAAGATAATTGTTTACTTTACTTCTTTATTTACTGTTCTATGTTTAAAAAAAAATAAGTTTAAGAACATATTTTAAAATAGCAATAATCTATATACATATATAATGTATAATAATTGAAATGTGACTGTATTTTACAAAATACTACTCTACTAAAACACTGCCAAGACAAGTTACTTTGCACAGACCAAAGGTCAGTTTTATGTTATTGGATACGGTAACATGAGTGCATGTATGCTGCATCATTGTAATTTTTGTACTGTTAGCCAGGCATGGCTGAAAGGTCAATATAATAAAAACAATAAATATATAAGTTATGAGATTAATGCTATTTAGTCTAAACATTTATGCTTTTATGTTATAATTTGTGTTCATTCTAGAATGAAAAAGGCATAATCTATATTTATTTCCTAATTTTTGTAATGTGATTATGAGATTGGTCAAATCAACCAAACCCATACAGAGATTCATTACTGAAAATAAAAGATAAAAATATAAAGATTTTTCGTAAGAAATGTTTGATAACTATCTGGACATTATAAAGATTTCACATGTGAAATCTGAAAATTTTCTGATACATAAAACTATTTTCAACATGCAAAAAGAAAAAAAAAGGCATGAGAAAAACATTGCTTTACAAACCTTAAAACTTAATAAAAAAAAATTATATTTTGCTTATGAAAGCATTGTAATGTTTACTGATAAACTGCCAAATTTCATTAAAATTCGCATACTAATCTAAAAGTTATAGCATGAAAACTATAACAAGCACAAAATGATTACGAGGTTGGTTCCAGGGACAGAGCCCATGTTGAAAGAGTTAAGAAATCTGAAAGTTTCATGACCTTCAAATGTAGAGAATGAGTCATTGCTTTAAATGTGTATTTTCCCATAAACTGCCATATGACCTATAAAAATCTGCATTTTTACATAACTTTAATTATTTGAAATAGAAGATTAATTTTCACTTGAAATCTACTGACATATAAAGCAGGAAAGAAGAAGATAAAACCCACCTGAGTAAATGCAGTGTTCTCTCCAAAAACAAGGTGCCACAGGTTGAGACTGCCATTGTTGTGTTTGGACAACATACAAACAACAGGTGTTGTTAAGTGAAATGCTGATTTTGGTTCCCTTTTCTTATGATCCAATCCGCCATCCACGGGTAATTTGGTTGGTGATGATGCTGTTTTGTCTTCATTTATTTTGGATGGTGAATCTTGACTAGTATAATCTTTGGTTTCTTTACTATGAAAGCCTTGCATAGCCACACGAAGATCCAGACCAGCACGTGGAAAGTAAAGGGAGAGGTGGTGAGACATTGTAGCTGCATCACTCAAGGATATTGCATTTGGAATACGAGAAGAAAAACTAACTTGAGCCTGACGAAATGACCCCGGATCATATTCATCCAGCCAATCAACTAACCTGCAAGAATAAAATTTAATACTTTCCACTGGGCTTTACAAAATGATCCAGGATTATGGTTTATCTAGGTAAACAGCTAGCCTGAAAGAGTAAAATACAATTATATATATATATATATATATAATGGCCTGACAAAATGGTCCAGGACTAAAGCTTATCTAGGCAACAATCTAGCCAAAAAGGAATAAAATACAACAATATATTATGCAGGATTAAAGTTTATCTAGGTAATCATCTAGCCTGTAAGAATAAAACACAATCACTTTCTCTCCACAGTTGAAAAACATTGTGGTATAATGTAAATATAAAGAAATAAACAAGGAACAAAAATTTGGCTATAATTCCCTTGTAAATATTTGTAGATTACATTCTATCAAAATTCAACATTATAAAGAGTGCATTAACTTAAATTGTAATATTTTGCAAAACAAAAAGAGGAGGAATACTATAAACTTTGCCACAATGGAACCTGAGTTTCTGAACCTAAAGTTAAGTTTTTTTACTGTACTGTATGTTAGTAAAAGTGGTCAAAGAAAAATATACAGGTATTCAAGAAAGTAACTTTGTACTATAATGTAAAAACAGTCATTTTCATTGTGGATGCTATCATTGTAAATGAATCATTCTCTAAGTGCAATGTTGAAAGAACAATCTAAAAGAGCTGAAGGATTTACCTTGATGGTGAATTTTCTTATTACCAAACTATAACATTCTTCTACCATCTACAGGTGGCATAATAAGAAAATCAAAATAATTGAACTGGTATCCCTTAAGGGTTTAAAACCATAAGCTGACTTACCAAACAAGTAAACTTCCATCTACAGGATGGATGCTGAATAACAGGTCGGGTCCTTGATGCCACTCTCTTAGCAATGACTCAATTTTTCTGTCCAGTGCATCACCCAGAGGACTCTGTGCAAAGAGAGAAAAACCAATTTTATCACTGTGTAAAATAAGATCTTTTACAATTTTTATTTTTTTAAGAATTGCAAGTTTTACAGCAAATTTTCAAAACATTTACAGAAAACATCTCTATCAAAAACATACTAATCTTAACAAAATCTAGAAAGTAATGTTTTAATAAAGCTTCATATAAATATCACGGTACTTATACTAAGGCTCCTTTTGAATTCATCAACATAAATATTCTGACTCTGCATGTCAATGAGAAATGTAGAACTTATAGTTTATGAAACATTATCTTTTTTTAACTTTTTGCTCATGTTAATGAATGGTTGAATGTCATTATATACAAATACATATTTCTACAGTAGTAAGGCCTTTTAAATTTGTCTCTGAAGTAGTTGTTTTGAAATGTAAAAAATATTGTATGATTTTATGATAATATATGGACTAATTTCTTTTCCAGCCACATAAATATAGCAAGTATCTGTATGGGAACCATTAACAAAACACTGTCCAAACCTACCGAGATACATAAAAAGCTAAATATGTTAATGCAGCATTTAGGAAGCTTATTTCACTCCTGAAATCTGGTTTTGGTATAATATTTCAATGAGCCTTCAATTTTTAATTACCATATTTAACAATCATAGTAGTCAAGTTTTTTGACAAATACACATGAATATTTTCTAATTATATTCATGTAACTAGTATGCAATAACAACTGCCACTTGTTAAAATAAAAATTTTAAGAATACTTTCAGGACAAAAAAAGAGATTAAAGAAAATGTGATTCAATAAATTTATTTATGTGAAAAGGTCACTATAAAAACAAAATATAAGAGAAGCACATATTAATTTAATAAAACTATTTGCAATACCTAAATTCATTAGCTGGAGAGGCACAAAAATGTACAACCAATCATGTGACAAGTTCATATTCAAATACAAGGATATATTTACTCTTTCAAAAACAAAAATATCATAAGATTTTATAAGTTGATCAGGTATTTTACATATCAATTATAGAATTAGATAACAAGCATGATTAACAACTATCTCTCTTATTGTAAATAAAATAAAATTCACAAGAGTTTTCCAAAACTAAAGAGCTTGAATGTAGTTTATTTAAATGGTTCATGGATAAATTTGATTCTTAAATGAGGCTTTTTTAAAAAAACTATTTTGCTTCAGAAATGTTCAAAAATCTTCAAATAAACTTTGTTTGTGTCTTATTCTTCCCATGCAAATAAACCAACAAACTTCTAACCACTTCAAAATTCCAGAAAAGATGCATGTTCACAATTTTGGGTTCAAAACAATGAGCAAGGCAAAGCACATTTTTTCCTTTTTTATAGCAGTGCTTAAAAAAATAATAAAGATTTCTACTGCCCTACCTTTTCTTAATAGCTACCAGTTAAATAAGTATCATTCTATTAGATATGTATCACCTTGAGCAAATAAAATTCAACATATGATGTTTGGATTTCACCTGTAATGATGTATTTGATAATTCTGTAGCTAGGGATGCTGATGAAGACACAGTCGAGAAACTGTGTTTACTAGTTGCATCTTCATTCAAATCCTCATAAGAAAAAGACTTCTGTTGTTTTCCATACAGCTTAGATTTTTTTGCTTTGGTTGTCTTAACTGAAGTCTTCTTAACACCTAAATGATGAAAAATTAGGAAAAAGGTTACCTACTACTTAGCATCTTAAAAGTCTGAAGTTTAATAGATCAAGGTGTACACAACCTCAAGGGAAAACTAAACAAGCACTCTTTCTAATTACACCTGGAAACTCTAATACTTCTTAGTTTTATAAAACTATGGAAAGAGAAATCATGTTCATTTAACTCCTAAATAATTATCCATAATATAACTTTTAAACTTAATATTACATCAGTTCTGATTATACAGGGTGGACACAAGTTACTTTATAGTTAGTGTAGCTGGTATTATACAGTTGTAGTAAAGAAAATCTAATTATTGTTTCTTTCAGAATAAGACATTATAAATGAAATTATGTTCTAAATGAATCAAATGTTTACTCACTTTTTTCCCAAACTGTGGTTCATACTTATAAACTTATAACATGCACTCAATGAACTAACCAATTACTGCATAGGTTTTTTTCAGATACACAAGTAGCACTAACTATATGTGTGTGGTTCAGTTCCAGTAATTTACTGAACTCTAAAACCCAATGCTCATATATCAAGTTGAATGGGAATTTGCATTCTTGGTACACCTACATAAATGTGAATATAACCTTTAAAATTTGAACCTCCTCAACACAGTTTATAAGCTTAGCAACTCCTAGCTTGCCCAATCAAGTATTTTTTTATTTCTGTATTTATTCTTGAGAGTTGCAGAGCTGTTGTTAATCCAGTTACCTAACTTTATGATCTAATAATATTGTTAATCCATTTACCTCTACTTTATGTTCTAATGATATTGTTAATCCAGTTACTTAACTTTATGTTCTGATGATATTGTTAACCCAGTTACCCAAGTTTATGTTCTAATGATATTGTTAATCCAGTTACCTAACTTTATGATCTAATGATATTGTTAATCCAGTTACCTAACTTTATGATCTAATGATATTGTTAATCCAGTTACCTAACTTTATGATCTAATGATATTGTTAATCCACCTACCCAACTTTATGCTCTAATAATATTAAATATTACTTATCACAGTTTCTTCTTGGGATGTAATACAATTTAAAGTTTTACAACTATATTTTTAAGGTTCTGAAAAAATGAAGTCATATATTCATAAAAACATATAATCTTATACACAGAGTATAGTTTCTTTTGAACACTATGCATTAGAGTGACTTGCACTTATCTATTCTTTCAGCACAACGATAGTTAACCATTACCATCTGAAACTTTGCTTCAGTGATGTGAATTACATATACAGCAACAAACAATTTAGGAAAATACACGTTTTTCAATGACTAGCTTAGCACTCTTTCAAGACAATGAATAAATCATTTTCCAAGTATTCTGTAAGTGACACTTAATGTCGAACAAGTTTTTTTCAACATATTAACTGTATAGTAATGTAACATACGAGGTCGAAAATAATTATTCCTGTGCAAAAATAATGAACTTAAAAGAATCAAAAACATAAGCCCTTAACAAAATGAGGTGTACCAAGGTGTTTGAGCACAAACATATGCCAAAAATAAGCACTAAAAACTGGAATTAACTTATTCTTAATGGCATTTACCCACAGTTAAGAAATAAACAGTGATTATGTAATATTTCAGAATTTAAAAAAATTTAATGATAATTGTTTTCAACTTTTCCTTCTTTAAATTTGGCAATGATAATATAAATTTCTGTATCATCCCAAAAGAAACCCATAAGAAATTTTTTGAACTAATTTTGGCTTTGAACACCAAAATAAACAAGTGGACTAACAGATAAACCTAAAAGTATCTACCACAGCAACAAGCATAAGAAATAAAGTAAACAAGTAGATAATTGAGCCTCAAAAAGCTACCACAAGGGGGTACACTTTTCAATTTACTTTGCATAATCAATAAACATGTAACTAGACCTATAATGTTTAACAAAATATCTATAGAAATTATACCTGTCTCTGCTTGAACATCCTGATCATCACTGTTCCCCTGTTCACTGTCACTCTCATGTCCTTCTGTCTGCAAAACTTTCTGGCTGACTTCCTGTAGCAGATGTTCAGCCGCTTGAGTGAAAGTCAACTCTTTGTTGTTTATCCAGTGGAGAACAAAATTTGGTTCTCGTAAGCCACTTCCTCCACTCATACTAGGCACAAGTGGAATATCTAAAAATAAATCAGAAATTTTATACCTGAAAATAACCAATAAATATGAAGTTTTACAATACATAACAATCATATCAGTGACTTAAAAGTCAAAAGTTTGCTTTATGGCAATGCTTTATCAGGAAAATAGCCATTCACAGAGATAGAATTAAGATTTTTTAATATTTAGAGGAAAACATACATAATAAAATGTCCCTTGTATCTAACTTGCAGTTTCATAATACCTGTAAACTAAAAAAACTAATTCAATTTTGAAATATAATTAATCTTATTACAACTATTTTTTCATGAATAAAGGTTACTGAAATTATTACTTGTTTATTTTAATATAAACACAAAAGTTATAATTTTCTTACACTGAAAATATATTTCCGATAGGTACTTACCCAATCTCATATAAATAGCTATTCTTGTTTAGTGCTACCACCTATATGCAACAAATTTTTTTGCATGCAACAAGCCTTGAGCTCCCACATACCTTATAATCAATCAATTCAAATGTACCTCACATGTAAATCATCATGCGCCAATCCTCCACCAATAAGGGTGCAATGACGACAAAACCTTGTCAAAACGTTGTACATTTACTGTTATGTTAAACTTATATAAAAGTTTTTCTTCATTACCCATTCAAGCAGTCTCCAAGCATTATTAAACAATCCAGTTCTTCTTACTGTCACATGCTGGCCTTGTCTGCTTCTACTGCAGGCTAGAGCTACACTCTGAACCACTCACAGTTACCACAGAAGTCATGTGCTTCTTTTGTCCCCATTTTGTTTTTCAGCTTCTTTTCTGAGGTTTATAATTACATCTCCCATGAGTACCCAGACATTGTCCTCAGTGGTTTTAAATCTGGAATGAAGTTGCAACTTGGTCTCAAGTTTCTTTTGATCCCTTCACAACTTGTTCACTCTATCATTTTTTCCTGAAGACATATTTTATTTGCTTTAGGGAGGAGACATTCAGACATTTTTATTTCTCATTCTCTTTTCCAGAATGTTTCTGTATTTATATCCACTAGAGACATGGGATGCAAGAGATGATTAGCACTATTTTTTTCTTATATTGTGTTACCTACTTTAATTGGTTCCAATTCTCTTTCAGATGAATATTTCCCTCTGTGGTCAGTACTGTTTGTTCCAATTTTCACAAGAACATAATCTTTTCAAGGGAACCAACAATGGTTATTTATACCTTAGGACAATTCTCATTCCATGAATCTTGCTCCATCCACATTAACAAAGTGGTTTGTGCAGCTGATATATTTTGTCTATCATGATGTTCTCAACCACCTAAAGCATGGATTTCAGGTTACATCTTACCACATTCCCATTTAACTATATTTTCAGCATGCTGATCTCTGTGCCTTTTAGTGAGCATTTTAAAGATAGGTATAGAGACAAATCTATATACTATATTTTATCTTTACCACATCACTGTATCTTCAGTGTCAGGATTGCATTCACCACCTGTGGTTATTCTCCATTATCAGTGGTATCCTTCTCTTGTGAGTTTTTGTATATTCAGCACCCATTGTAAACAGTTTACAGAGTGTACAAGACTGTGAAATAATTTTAACTTCAAAACCAATAACACGAAACAAGAAAGACATCATAATCAAATATAGTCTCTTCTTATGTATAAAATAGCTGTATATACATTAATTCATCCAGTCATGACTCTTGCATATTATCTAACCTCTGCACTTGCTTTAGGCAATCCAAGTATTTCTATATCACCAAAATTCTACCCTCTATGCTGCAGTTTCATGAAAGGGTTTTGTCCTTTGGAAATGGACAGAAACTATCATCTGGTGGCTGATGATGTCTCGGTGGGTAAATTTCCCAACTCTACATGCTCATCCTTGCGATTATCACTAGATGTCTCAGCTCCAGCCAGGATATGAATCATCTGTGTTTTTATTCTTATTTCATAACTCTTGATGTTCTTATTGCACTGCCCTCACATTGTTGAATCCATCCTTGGAGACTGCTTGGGTCTTTCATTGGTTTTCCTGAGCATCCACTAATTTGGCCAGTTGTGCGAATCAGTGTTATTTTTGATATGGGTGAAGATGGGCTACTGTGCTTCTAAAGCATATCACATGTCTGAGCTGAGAGCCCAAGAATTTTCCACTGCAGAAACAAGACACAGTGTTCCTCCTACCTGTTCAATACACCATTACCACTCACAAACCCAAACCCCTTTGGCTAATTAAAGGGTGTCATGGGGTACCCTGCTGAGAAGAATGCCTTCTTTCTAAATGTTCTTTAGGTCCAGTCTTTTTATAAGGCTGGTTTTCTTTACTCATTCTCTCTGAAATTCAGTTCTGTGACATTTTCTGATCCAGGATTTTACTCCATATCTGCTTGGCTTCATATTTCTTGTAGTCTTGATTATCTTCCTTGCCTGTAGCTTGTAGTTTGTTTTTTCCCCATGTCCTTTGGTTTTCATTTCCTTTATAATGTGGGTATTCTGGCTTTCATTATTTCAGATGGTAAATCTACCTGATTTATATTTCATATTTTTGAAATTAAAATGAACTTCAAACAGGTACTTAACTCTGAAATACCTTCCCTCCCGCTTCTCACAACCGAATTTTCATCACGACTGCAACTTTCAATAACAACTAAATTATAGTGGGAAATCACAACATATGTAAAATCCCCTGATACTTGCACAATAAGTTACATGGAAGGCAGGAGAGTGGATAATTACGAGTAGGAGAACATTTAGAAATTTTGTCTCATGTTTTATGGATAGTGTAAGTTCAATTTCAACAAGAAAAAACTTTCAATATTTTAGATGTAAGTAACTGTTTGAAAAATTTTAAAACTTTAATAATGAAAATGTAGAAATTATTTGTTAAAAGTGCAGTACTATTTCAATTTTGATGCACATTCTTTACCAGTTTCTGCATTAATACTAGCAGCAAGATGAAAATGAAGACCAGGAGCTATCCCAGACCCATGAAAACCAAAACTGTGGAAGTCATGCACACTGTAGGTACTGGGTAAGGTTGGAATGGTTTCATGAGGATCTTCCGTCAACTGTGAAGCTTGTCGTCTTTTATACTGGTTGAAAGACCTGCACAGAATAGATATAACTCAGTAAAAACTTAATAGATAGAATAGAAGCATTTTACCACTTTTTTCTAGATATATCTATAAAATGCAATTAAGATTAATTAAGTTTAAACTACACATTTTGTTATATATAGTAATATAACTCCTTCCTCATAGAATACACTTCACAACAATACAACAAAGAGCAGCTTACTTCAGATTAAGTTAAAAACTATTATTTAAATGAAATAATTTTGTAACTAATTTCAAATATGTTATTATAAACTAACAAAACAATTTTGTTTATTAACATAAGTCTAGGTGTTACTGATATTTTTTAAAATTCAAATCTAGTTTTGTAACCTTAGTTCCTTTTTTTATAATTTTAGTAAACCTGTTTTGCTCACATACTTCATATGCTTTAAACGCTGCATGATACGCTGTCTGTGCCTTTGAGTATGAAGTCGAGGAGTTTGGCTTGCTAGGGTCTCAATTTGCTGCAGATTGATCAATCCATCGTCAGGAAGCAGAGTCTGCACCCAAAGTCGACAAATGTTGTCTCGACATGAAGTAACCAACATATTGGCAACAGAAGCCCTAAAAATGTCAAGTATATGATTACAGATTAACTTGTAAAAATGTAATAGATTTATTTACAGTGTTGGTAAATAAAGAAATAAATAAGAGTCCATTATTTCACACTCACTAAGTTTATTCATCTTTTCATCCACATTTTTGTGTTCAGTACTTTGTTCTTAAATTCCAACTTGCTTTTGAAAATCTATTTACATGAAAAAATTGCCTCAAACTTTACTTTTTAAGTAATTATGATTAAAATAATACTTCTTTCTTTTGATTTTTACCAGACTTGATAGATTGGTCTAATTTTTAGCAAATAATATTTCTGAATTAACTTTCCTTCCCTTTTGAAACATTTCCAATGGGTGCAAATGCTAACCAGGCTTAAACATACCACATATATAGTCAGTTGCCTTTGAATATTTTAAACTTACCATAGGGTTGCAAGTTTTTCTTTTCAATTACTGGAGAGATTTTAATAAAGTAGTTTTTCTTTCTTTTTAATGTAAGAAAATATTTCATTCTGTGTGTGAGACATTATAATGCTGTTTAATCTTTTGAATACCAAGCCATTTTAATTCACTTCATTTTATAAATATACTTTGTGGATGCATATTGTAAGTGATACAACAAATATATTAACATGCAAAATTATCATTTTGGTCTGTACCACCAAATCAAATGGTTGTAAATTAACCACTACCGATTCAAACACAACGGACACACACCGTGGCATATATTTGCTAGTCTTCCTCCATGAAAAACCTGTCACAGCTCTGGGATGAGCAATGTAAATAAATGTGTAGTTAATTTCACTTCCAGATAGTGAATGACCAATATGGGATGTAAAATTCACTGTAGAGAAAAACAAAAGTAGTTTTTCAATTTTATGAAACAAAATATTTCTTGCAAAGTAGCAGTAATCATTCAATAAGCACAAAATCCTTGTCAGAATTTAATCTGGCCTACCAGATTTTTAGCATTTTAATTGTAATAGGTAAAGCCTTTCAAATCAGGGAAGTTAAACAAACAGATGATTAATGAAAATCAATATAAATTAAAAAACTATCAAACAGTTAATAATTTTAAGATTTTATCAATGTTTTGGACCTGAACCTTTTGTAACAATAATGAAAAAGAATAAGAAAAATCCTATAGTACATTTCTTATCAACCTATCAATCATCTTTGGGATTATTTTTTTAGGATTTCTATATTTAATCAGTACATGCATGTTGTTCATTTTTCATTAGTGTTATAATGAGAAAGTTGCTAATAGTGAATTAATGCATGTTTTTAACATTCTGATATATAAATGCCTGATAAAATAGCTTAGTTTCATGTTTTGAGGAATTAATAATCTCCAATTACAAAGTAGTTCCGCAACATACCAATAATTCTATTGGATATCTTAAAATCTAACCAAAATCACATCATTTTTATTTGAACTTTAATTGAAGCTAGTAGGTTATAAAAAGCTATCAAGTATATGAAACAACACATTTAAGTTTAGAGATCATAAGTCTTTTGATTAACCTGGAAGTATGTTCATGGCTTAGTACATTCAAACTTTACTAGGATTTATTATTTGAAATGTTATTAAATCAAAAATTAAATACATTAAGCTGTCAGTATATATTTTTCTTCTTTTCATTGAGTATTTTTCCAGTTGGGGTTGAGCACATATTTACTTTTTAGTTGTTTGTTGTATTTTAATATGGATACTGATAAAATATCTGAAGGAAAAAAATATTAACTCTGTATTTTTTCCTGTTACTAAGTTCTTTTTTTTCCTTACAGAACAAATAAGCAACAATTTTACCCATGCAAGATAAAATAACTGAAAACAAAATATATTATAGTATTTTGGCACTTGTGTATAAAGTTAAAATCATAAATAATATTCAATGTTAAGCTGGTACACAATTAAAAACATTTTATTTAGGCCTATCTATAGGCCTATCCTGAGGATGACGTTGTAACGTCGAAACATGTAGAGTCGTCAACTTTTTGAAGGCCATAGATAGCCCTAAATAAAATGTTTTTAATTGTATACCAGTTTAATGTTGAATATTATTTATGATTTAACAAAATGTATATCCATCTCAAATAACAATTCAATAGTTTCAGCATTCTAACTGTTATGCAGTATAAAATTCTTTCTGTCTATTAATTAATTAATTTATATTTTGCAATTTTGCATGTATATTTCTGCATGCTTACCTTTTTTGTTTTCATACCATATTTTAACTAGTCTATCTGCATGACCTGCTGATGCAAACAAAGTTCCATCTGGTGAAAACTTTAAAATACTGACTGGATGAGCAGTCCTAAGAAAAAAATTGAGAATAAAGTATTGTAATATAGAATAATGAATAAAAGTTGAAGCAACAGTTAAAACTTATACATAAGAACATTTTTTACAATATTTTATTGATCAAAATTTCAAACTTATGATATAAAAAATAAAATATACAAATATGCCTTTATGCAAAGTTTTCAATGAAACATTGGAACACAGATGAAGCATGTCCGCTGAGAAAAAATGTCTATTTGAAGAGACATATTTTAACTGTTACACATGAAAGATGATTATAACTACTTTCTGTTAAAGCTTTCTGGACCTGGGCTGTGTCATTGATATCCCTAAATTTTTTCCTTCAAGCAATGGAGGTATTTAATCAAATTGCATGAATCTTAATAATAGAACTTATTAAACAGTATCTAGTTTTTGCTTAAAAAATATAATTTTATTTATTTTTATAAATTTTTTACATTGTGAAATGTCCAAAATTTTCAAAGACTGTTTTGAAAAAACAAAAAATACTACCTTTCAATATGGAATTTCATGTTTTTTTTTATTGTTGATCAGAAAGTACCATTTTATATATTAAAAGTTTCAACTTCACTGATAATCATTAACGTAATTCTTACAGTTTGCAGTAGTCACCACTTCTGGATATCAGGATTTAAACTGTACAAAAACTAACGATTTTTTTTTTTTTCTTTATCGGTGACCTACGACCTAACCAGTCAATCATAATGGCATCATCTCAGACATTTTACAAACAGAATTTTTGGTTGAGATCAATTTAATTCTAATAAATGTAATTTATTTTCAATCAATAATAAGTAATAACTTTATTTATCTAAGTTGCTTCTGATATGATAAACTTAATAATAATATTAAATAAATCAGAATTTGAGTCATCAATGAATATTTAACTATCACTTATCATTCCCTCTAAACCTAAGTTATCCAACCTGATGTCTTATCTTGTCTTAGAAAATTTCTATTTTCAAACAAATATAATTTAACATAAAAACTATTTTTAAAAGAAATTATTAAAAATTCTTAGCTTTGTAGTTTACTCTAAAGTCTTATAAACTTCCCAATAAATTCCATTGTTCTTTGCAGGAGCAATATCTAATTGCTTTCCCACAATATCATTAGTTAATTCCCACACACACTCTTCATTCACTCTACATTAACAAAAATAGTTTATAACCTGTCCTATCCAATTCCTATGCTTTGGGATGCCCAGAATTTTTTTTTTCTAATATTGATAAGTGCATTTTTTAAAGTGGAAATTAAAGCAGAGTAGACACAGTAGGTTTGAGAACTTTAATGGACTCAAACTGTCTGTTGAATTAAAAGGGGAAGACATTTCAACTTCTATATTGAGGTCTCAGCATAAAGCCAAAATGTCATCCACTTTTCATTCAGCAGGTAGTTGAAGTCTATTAAAGTTCTCAAACCTACGTTATTTACAAATAATACTCCTTTGACTTGTGCAAGAATGGAAGTTTGAACATTTTTGTAATTGTTTGTGTGTGTGTGTGAATTAAACTAAGTAAAATGACAAAAATATCAGTTGTACAATATTTTTCAAAAAAATAGTTGAAATATGGTTAGGTGCTCATTAATCCAGATATGGTTAATATAAAAGTTGCATATCAATTACAAAGTCCTTAAGCATAAGACCAAAAGTAAATGCGAACTTCATAGCTGTGCTGTAAATACACCAATTAAAAGTACCTTCTCTCCCTTTCTTTTTATGATATTTCAACACTTTTTTTTTTCCCACTTCACCAACTGTTTTATTTAACTGTAGGAATAGGTAGTTGCAATCCAACTTGAGATCACAGATACATTGTAATGACTGAAATACTATCCCTGAATTTCATCTTTCCATAACTACAGGATGTCCAAAAGTTAACATTTTCTTAAATCAAAAATGTATTTCCAATAATACTTTCTTCCTCTCACACTACAGCTATTACTCAACTGCCAGGGTTTCTTCCTTTGCCCATCTAAGCATTGGTCTGATTTTTTCTCACTTGTTTTATACTCCATTTAACTGCCCTTGCGATATTTGTTTCATGACACTCTCCAACTATGTCAATGCACTCTCTATCCTGATACTGTATATAAGCATCTCATTCTGAAAATGTTATCACTTTTTGAGACTGACTTAATCCATAGTCTCTAACACCAGCTCAAATGGGGAAGAAGGGTGGGAGAGTATGAAAGGAGGTAAGTGTTATTGGAAATACACTTTCAATTTAATAAAACGTTAACTTCCAAAACATACTTACCTCACTCTACAGCTGGAATCCCACATTAATAAGGAGGGGCTGGTGAGGGCTTTATCCATACAAAAACATCTGTATAAATCATGGGTGTGTCAATTAAAGGGGGAACCACACTACATCCATAACAGGTACACTCTTCACCTGGAACTTAATTCATGTACTGTGGGTGGAATTTTACATGATTTATCATCACTATTGGATAGGCCTCAACCAGATAGCCAAGGTTGGAATTATAGGCCCATGGTCC